ATCCAATGAAATGAATCCAACCGGAATGGAGGCAGATAAGAGTCATAAAACTCTTTCACCTACTCTACCGTGAAGTGAACAAATTTAAATTTCTTTTTTGTTGTTTTAATTAAATTTTTCTTGTGCTTTAAATTTCAGACCGAGATATTTTTGAGGTTAACATATTAAAGAGTTCACTCATATCCCTCACATATACCAAGTAATTATCCTTGAATTTTATATTATTAGAGCTATAATTAAGCTCAAGTACGCAGAAAAAAGAGACTTTTGGCAGCATAAGGACGGGAAAAAAACAAAATCCTGCATATGTTTGAACCATATTCTACAAATTATAATCAACATAAGCGTGCTTGTTATCTTTCTTGCGCTAATCCAGTTAAATTACCAGCAAACACGATCTTAATTACGAAAAGCTCAGTAATTAGTTTTTTCAGTGGAGTTGGATATATTTTTTGAGGTTAAAAATCTTTTGAAGGTTAATGAGTTGAATCAAGGATAGACTGAACCAGAAAAGCTGGTTTTTTAGATGTTAAAAAATTATCCACAGTCTCTACAGACAGATTGTTTTTGTTCTCAACGAATGATTGGTTCATGTAGCTCTACACAATTGTATGACCAAGGGTAAATCAATGCAAAGGACTTAACCACAATTTGCGCATCGCGAATCGAATAATTCGAGTCGCCATGATTAGAAAACCAAATAAGCAACCCAAAATCCGACCAGACATTCCCTTGGATTGAACCAGGCTTGGTTGGTTGGCCAACACTCAAAACACTACGCAACTGTTGCTTTTTTGCTGCTTGATAATTTGATACCAATTTCTAAAAGAATGCTCTTGATTCTAAGCTTACTGTCCGATCAAGAGCTATGTGAACAACACTTTCAAGTGAATCGATCAAACAGGATCATGTCTAAGCTTGATGGGAATTATTTAAGAAGCCCAAGATCCCTTAGCTTCACCATAAGAGTCTACGATACAATCGTGATCCATAGTTTGAGAACTGCTGTGCTAGAGAGATTTCTTAAGGCTTGATTCTAATTAAGGCAGTTCTAGAGTTGCTTAATATTTGAAACTTCACCAAATTCCCATAACCATTTCCTCAAAAGCTTCAAACTTAAATGAAAAGTTTGTAAATTTTCAATGCATCAAAAAAGTTCTTTTGCCATAAAAATTTGATGAAAAACTGCATAAATTACCCGAATAATCATAAAACGTGCACGAACTTGCAATATATCTTCCCAAAAAAACTATTCAAATTTTATTCACTTATTTAGTTCCACATCAGAAAATATTCTTATAAAAAAAAGAAATTCATCTTGTAAATCACATTCCAAAAAAAGAACAGAACCAACACAGACAGAAATATCCTTTCGTAATAAATAAAAATCAAGAAATAAAAATTTATTAGAATAAATGAAAATTTCGATTTTTCTCGAAAAAGGAAAAACTTTCTCCTTTTTTTTTTTGTCGAGCAAAAGAAAAGAAAAAGACATTTCCGTATTTTTTTACATTTCAGTGAAGATGTCTAATATGGAAGTGTATAGTTGAAGTAAAAGAAATATTGAATATTTTTCATGCTTCTTTCCATATTTTTATGACTATGTTTTTAGCTGTTTTTTGTTTGGTGTTTTTTGGGTGTTTTGAATTTTTGTCAATTTGTCTAGGTGCTTTATGCGGGTAGTTTAATATTGAAATTTGCCATTAAACATTACATCTACAAATAGTTTAAAATAGCTAAATGGTCAGTGCCAATTGTCTGCATGTAAAAGTGTAGTCTTAAGTTCGATTCCTATTACAAAGCAATTCGTTTCATGTCTTTAGTCAATTTGTTTTCTTTGCGTGTCAAGCTTATTCTTAGCATTATTTTCGGATTGTTTAAATCTCCGATTCTCATAAATTTATGTTAAAACGTATTATTAATTCAAAACTAGATCCTGTTGTAACTAAAGAGCTTAGAGAGATATCTTCCCATGACCCGAACTGCATTCTTCAGTTTAGTTGTTGCGTGACTGATCCTCATGACTTAGGGCAGTGTTGTCCAAACTAGGTGCCACGGCACACTGGTGTGCCGTAATAATTATTGGAAAATGAGACGAGCTGTGTGCAACTTCGGTTGTGTAGGTAAGGTGTGTAGGTAAGGCATTGCACATAAGGTGTGCAATGGCTAAAAAAGTTTAGACAACACTGACTTAAGGTTTTGAGTCTAAACCAATCTTAACCTCCATTTCTTCTAGAATCTGAACTTCTAAAAATGCGCCGCTATCCTTCTTTCAACTCACTCAAATTCCACAACTCATCTTTTATGTATATCCATTTCTAGAGAACTGAACTGCCAAAATGGTGGTTAAATAGAGTAAAATAAGTAAAAAAATGTGAATCAATTTTTCTCGATGACGATAATCGGATTTGTTATAGGAGAAGCAGTGCTTGTGACATAAAGCCAAAAAATATTTTTATCATACGAGAAACAGAAGTCTCAAAAAATAACGTCAAATATGGTTCAAGATGGTACCATTATTATTTTTATGTATTTGATTTTATGACAGCGATATGAGTTTAATTTTCATTTTTTGGATTCTATTTTGAATGTTTTTTTTGTTGTTCCTTATTTGGGTCGTTTAGTGATGCTGGAAATGGAGTTTTTAACACCTCGGTAGAATATTCTGTCACAGAATTTAATTTATTTCCTCTGTGAAAAAATGATTAATTGCAAAAATTTATAATCTGACATAAATCCTCAAAAAAAAAATTCTCCATCCACAAAACTTAATTGTCTGAAGACAAAATCTGTAAAATCATTAATATTCACTCTACGAAAAGCTATTTAGGACTCGGAAAAAAATAGAATTCGTTTTAATTTCAATTTCTGATAAGAGAATCAATTACATCTCCCACGGTTCTGCAAACATTAAATTAATCGTAAAACTCATAATTTCAAATGACACAAAAATAAATTACTTTATCATGAAATGAATACAAATGAACTTTTTAAAATAATCTTTATCATATACTTCTTTCATTCATTCCTTTTTATATTTATTAATAAGAATAAGAAGAGTGTACTTGTTAGGGGAGGAACTAGGGATGTAAATTAAGATAGAAATTACTCTTGCAGTGGCTTTTCAGTTCGCACAATCATGTCAAATTGATAAGATTCTAAATATCAAACCTGTTTAATTCTTATTTAAGCATCTAGGCTTATCAGAGAGACTCCAACTGTTAGTTTTTCACTGATCTTATTCTAAATAGGTGTGTATGATTAAGGTATGTCTAAGTTAAAGTTTAGTACCTAAAGAGTACAGCCCAGTACTACGCTAAGGGTATTTATAGCCCTCACATGACAATTGTAGTGTATACTCTGCGTTAAACCGAAGAACAGACCACCAAATTGTGTGTAACATTAATTTAGCATTCTATTCAACCTCTTCCTATGCCATTATTTTGTCAGTAATTATTTAATGAAGCTATGATAAGCTAGAATAATTGCTTGAGTAACCGTAACTAAAGACACTCAATCCTAATCCCCCAACTTAGGTAGCTAACGCTAGAGAACGCTTTAAGGTCCATATCAGGCACCGTTAGTCTTAAAAACGTAAATAATAGAAGTTTAAAGAGCCCATGACATGAAAATTAGCTGCTGGTACATTTTCAAGACCCCCCTTTTTGCCAGCTAAACCTTACAACCCCTCATAACATTCCTGACTACAACCTCTTACCACCACTAGTACTCAACGAAAAAGTTTTTATGAGAGTGTGTCACTCATAAAGAAAAATACCGCAAGAAACATCGCGGTTAATAAATTTTCATTTTTTTCATGGGACAAAGAGATATGCAGAAGAAGAATTATTAGGGAAGAAACGACTTTTTCGTGATTGTTCTGTATTAAAATGGTAAATTTCATGCAAAATAAAATACGTAACTTGCTCTAACTTAATTTTCACATCACATTGCTTTATGGAGGGGAGCTTTTGTCTCTCATTTTCATCTTCATCTTCTCTCTCATTTGTTCTTTTCGTGATAAATTTTCTCGTTGGAAACTCCTTGTTTTTGTGAAATATGAACTCATTGTTGGATTACATAATTAATTATTAATGACTTGTTCGTGCATGACTAAAGTGATGTATGATTAACTACATTAGAGGATTTTGAAGCGTAAAACTTTTCTTTTTAATTAAGAAGCTATTAAGATGATATAAAATCAGGTAAGATGTTCTGTAGAGTGATTTTTTGTGGGAACTTCATCTTTACCTCGAACTTATAGTACAGCACCTCTAAACCTACGTAACAATCCCATAAAAGTTTCAAAGCTACTCAGCTGTGTAATTATTGGTTTCTTTGAAGTAAATAAATTGGCTACAAAACTGAGACCAATGTTGATTCTTTTCTCTATGTTGCTAATGCATTACATCCACTACAACCTAAGTGCCTTCTTTATAAAACTTATATTAAGACTATTATACCACAAATATTAAACAAAAGACTTGAAAACTAATTAAAAATTCAACTAAATTGCAAAAGTTTTATGACATAAAATAACTCTTTTATGTAACGATTTTATGCTCTTTTATGTTCTTATAAAACCGAGTATTTAAAGCTAGTAAGGAAAGCTTGCTGAAACAATGTAGATTAATTACTTTTAATATTCTCACCGTGCAAAAAGTAGTATCTCTGGGCCTGATTTATCCGCTACTGGTACGGTACGGAATAGATACACTGTTCCATCCCTATGCCGGACCTTACATACGTATATGCCGCACCGTACCAGTAGCGAAGAAAACGGGTCCAGTTTTAAAAATTCAAAAAAAAAATCTTTACAAACTTTCAACCTCAATTGACCATACAAACTTCATGCTTGCAATCTGTATCATTGGGGTTTTACAATTGCAATAATAAGCAGATTGGAAACTCCAATTCAAGCTCTTATCAAACAGTAAATTTGTGTATAAAACGCAGCTTCTTTTAGTCTTTAATCATTCAGTTTTGTGATTACTTTTGAATTGATTGTTCCTTCTTTTCTATAACTCATACGAAAAATGATAAGACAGTTGTTTTTGGCTATAGCGATTGGATTTGCATGTAAGTATAAAGATTCAAATAAAAACTCTGCATCAATCACCTAAAAGACTTGAAATCTCTTAGGCTCTGAGGCATGCACTATCAACTTTGGTCAAATGAGAAAAAACGAACCAATTTTCCTGTACAACACCAATAACAATATTAACAGTTTCATGATTCCAAATGGAAATTCAATGACATTATCATCAGGAACTCAATTTCTTATCGACTGCGGTCAAGGTCGTAAATTTAATATTCCTAATCAAAATATTCAGCAATTACAAGTTAGTTGTGAAAATAATGCGTTCATGATTGGGAACCAACTAGTTCAAAGTGTTGATAACTTTGAGTGCATGGATGCCAGAAATTCCCCAGTTGTTAGAATACAGAAAACCCAAAGTATCTGCGGCGACGATGGATTGATCTACAATGTTGGATTCCATGTACAAAATGGAAATTCTCAGAATTTTATTCAAGTCCTTCAATCTTGTTTTGATGAACAGTCTAAGTCTGTATTTTATGTCAAAAGCAACATTTTCGGTCAAGTTGATCGCTCAGGTTCTCCAGATTTTTCGATCAATAATGGAGTATGGACCGACGGAAAAGTAGTTCCATCAAATTTTTTTGAAGTCAAAAGTGTCAAGTCTGCATTTTCAACTAAACAATTTCATAGAGGACACTACGCACCTAATGCTGATTACCCATTTGCTCAACACCGTCGTGCTACTTTCCAATATTTCAATATGGGTCCAATGGAGGCAAGATTTAATGGAAAAGACTGGAGTCAATTAGAGTCATATGTTCGTAAATTGGTCAAGCATCATGGACAAACAGCAACTGTCTTTACTGGGGGATTTGTCTACAATAGTCAATCAGCCTTAGCTTCCAAAAATAGACCAATTAACATTTTGAACCAAAATCCGCAAGGAAACAAAGTAATGATGCCTGGAAATCAAGTTAAAACTATTCTCGTTCCTGACTTGTTTTGGAAGATTATCAATATTGGCAATCAGGGAGTCGCTATATTTATGTTTAATGACACAACTATTACCCAACAGAATTTCTGTCAAAATTTGTGTCAAAAGTACTTTTGCTGTAATGTCAATGAATTTATTTCTGGTACTGATGGAATCAAAGGTAATTTCAACTGGCCTCATGATGCTTATGTTGGTCAGAACTTGGGAATGATTCCAGAATAAACTTTTTACATCAAATGTACTCAATCTTATTAAAAAAATTAAAATTATTTGACCAACAATTCATCAGTATAAGCACTCACCAATCAATCTTATTCCGTCGGTTAATATGTCAAACCAACAAGAAGTGCTTCCGTTTAATACAATTTAACAAAGCAGCCGTGACAAAAATCAGAGTGACGACAAAAAAGACTCATCTCGTTATTTGTCACAGAGCTCTATAAATATTTTTCCTATCCATAATCTCAAAGATTTTTATTTCATATTTTTATCCCTCCTCGTATTTAAACATTTCATTTCCCCCTTTTAAAATGTATGTGCTGTGTATACATACATGGGAATATATAATATGTATCTTTTCACTTAAGCATATGAATATAAGCATTGAAAATGATCCAAAATATTTGCGACAAGTGACATGGGACCCTAATTCGTACAGTAGGATAACGAAATGGTGATGATGATGATGATCGGTCATAAATTTTTACGATGTGTATTTTATTTAACGCAATTTTAATTCAATTATCGGCTTTTTGCAATATAATCAGAATAAAGCACGAATGTAATATAAATATGAGTACGACTTTAATCTAATTTATAATAATACATATTTGAAACGCACATAAATGGCATTTTTTATTCCATAAATGGATTCCATTTGATGATATTAATATATTTTTTAATTTATTTAATTGAATGCTCGCACAAAACTATTTTTACATAGTATTCTCGCTTGTTTTTATAGTCTGAATGTGGTTCATCAGACAATATGGATAATTTTGGCGTTAAAATTGCCACAACTTCAATATGGTGTAATGTAAATGGAAAATTTATTTATTTTTAGTATAAATGAACGTTTTTTTTGTGTTACGATCCAAAAAGTATGTGGCTAGTTGTGTTGACTAGAAAGTTTTGCTACTGAAACTGCTTTTCGATACTTACTTTGTCTAATAATTAAATTAAAGTATTTTTGTGATGTTAACTCGTTGAATACTCAAAGCTTACTGAAATCAAAACAAATCTCTGGGGTATGCCACTTTTTTATGAAATTCAAATTAATTTTGATCGTTGACAGGTCATAATCTTTAGTAACAACGTGTGAAACCATCCATCTTCATAATACTGCATTCATAATAACTCTAAGACTTCCGTATGCAATTAAAATTATAATCCTTAAGAAAATGCATATTACCTTATATCATATGCATAATTCTGTATTTAACATTCACCGGAAAATGAGAAAATTTTCAATTATGCAAAATTTACATTATTAAACTTTATCTTATTAAGTTTTCTATCACCATACACAATACTCTTCTTACCCTTCGCCAACTGTCCATTTTCTCACAATTATCAAATTCCGCAATAAATCTTCACACATGAAAACCACAATAAGAGGCCGATAATTAATTCCTTAAGCAAAATCTTCAGTTTTTGTCACTATCTGATCGACATTCATTATGCATTCAGTGCAAGCAAAAAACATGTGTGAAATTAAAGTAAATTTTCAGATTGAGTTATAATAGCAAAATCAGTATGGGCAACAGATGAGATTTCTTAGTTTATTTAAAGGGAGTTGGAAGTGGCAAAATCTTTTGTACGTGTCGTGAATTTTTAATGCTCTCTTTTTGCGGATGGATGAGATTTTTATTGGATTTTTATTTCACTTTAATGTTGTGAATAATTTTTATCCATATGAAAAATTTGATGGTAAATTCTGGTTTTGTACTTGAATCAACTCTCTGTTTAGGATTTACTGGACAAGGACTGTCAAGAGATGTTTATTGAAATTCAGTATGTTGCTGAATAAATAAAAATCGATACGGAATTAAAAGGGGTCGGAGTTTAAGGATTTTAGATGAAATTAAAGAGCTTAAATATGCTTGCGGTGAAGTTTAGGATTTTGACTAGGCTGGTTTGATTTTTAAGGAGATAGAAGAATCACGCTCTGAAAAGATTGAGAAAGACTAGATTAATGATTACATTTTCCATCATTCAAGCTTAAAATGTTCATTCTTAGCTTATAATTCTGATCTTAAGTACATAAGCCTTATCCTGCATAGCCTAGATCTAACCTAATCTGAACATTCTTAACCTATGCTTATTTTATCAGCATTGAATACTCAAAGGAAAACAAGGGTCTCTAGATATGTCCAGGATAGAGCTAGAAATTGGATTTCGAAGCAGGTTAGAACTTCATTCGAGATAGAAGATGGTTAGAGTAAATTCCTGGCATTCTTTCTCTCCTCAATTCTAAATTGTCTAGAAACCATTTCAAGCACATCAATAATTACCACACAATATCCACAAACAGCAACAAAATCCATTAGATAAACCAACACATATCTTTATTCAGTTAGAAAACATGCTTACGTCAGATTTTTTCTCTCCAAATTGAATTTGAAAGTGCAATTAATACTCGAAGAATGAAATTTATGCATCACCAAACGAACCCGATCGATGGAATAAATAAAATGAAAATGAACAACATAAAATAGCGAAAATAGACAACAGCGAAGCGATGTGATGACACAGCATAATTCTATTTTAATTTCTGGTGCGCTCGATGGATATTCGCAAAAAAAAATATTTCTGTCGCTGCTTCTTGAATCGTTCAATTTATCATGATTATTGGAATTAAATTATGATGATTTTGACTGTACGGAATGAACTTTTTAAGGGAACATGGGAATTGATAAATAAATTTATTTATTTTTGCGTTGTTCCACTAAATCATTTTAAATATTTTTGACTTCACACAATTTTTTAAAAAATTTACATCCTGACTACCATACCTATATGCTGTTTGTTAAGATGTAAAAAAAAATTCAAATTGACTGAAATTTATTCACATAAAGAAAGTTCATATGTAGATGAATAATGAAGTTATTTGAATACAGTCTTGGTACGGATAGAAATCAAGGAAATATGAAATTCAAAATCAATGAAGAACATTAGCATTGGTAATGATGTGGAATAAAGAAATAGCTCGATTTCTTTCGATTTTTTTTTTGTACGCGAAGACGTGAATGTAACGAAATTGGTTGAGTTATGTGGAAAGTTTAAAGTATTTTTTGGATTATTAGCTTCATTCACATCCGATTAAGTTTGAATTAAAGTTTTGGGAATGGTTTTTTTGTGAGTTTGTGCTTGAATGGCACAAGTCGGTTAATCGATCCGAAAGCCGATAGCAATCTGGTGTGACTCTGGAATGGTGCTGGATTTAAATTGAAGCCAGCATCAAAGCAGCGTCATGCCAGCTTAGCTCCGGATTTCTATTCGATTAACTGACTTGTGCTATTCTTGGTAGTTTAGTCTTTTTGAGTTTGATCTTAAATAATTTTGAAAGTTGATGACAAGATTACAAATATTCACTTTAGTGACAAATTGATTGCGCATGCTAATATTATTTAAAGGCATTAGAATGAACTTGATTTCTCAGATAAGTTGGATTAACTTTACTTTTTGGTTTTGGCTACCGAGCTCTTCATAAGACTAGTGTCTGAATGTCTGAATACTTAAATCTTCAAAGTCTATAATCATTGAGAAATTAACCTTTCATCTATGGGAATCAAAAAAACTTCTTATCAATTTCTTGTCCTAATTCCAGCCTTAGACTGCATATGACTCTCTGCCTAGATAGACTACAAAACCACAGCATTCACAAAAAAAAATCCTCATTGCTCCCGAACAGAACAACAAAACTCAGATATCAGACTTTTGTAAACAGCTTAAATATGTTTGGCTTTGTTTAACCAACAAAAAGTTAACTTCAGTATTTTGACATGTTTACGAAACTGAATTCTTTCTTAGTTTTCCGTTATTTTTGCCCTTCGCATTTGCTCTTCGTACATATGCATAAACAGTCACAGTGAAAAATATGTTTGTCTTCTGAGGCACTTTTCAGATGTTAAAAAAAAATCTCGATATGTTTATAGTTCATAGAAATTTATTATTCATTTCATAAATTGTTTTTCCCTTCAAAAAATGAGAAGTAAATTTAACCCTCCTTTATAAAAAAAAAATAAAGACTGTAAGCTCTAACACGCAAGTTACAAAAATATATCTCAATCTTATCACGTGACCAATTGAATCATAAATCACGAGATGATATACAAGTGAGAAGGGGAATCGCAACTTGACCGATTTAAATAAAAGAAATGTGAACTGAACTGATTTGAAGACAATGCTGATACTTTAAAGACGATTATGATTGCATATAAATTATTGGAATAAATATTTTTTGATGTTTTGTGATTATTTTTAGGGATTCTTATTTCCTGAAGTTTTAAACTCATAGAAGACTTATTGTTTCTAATCTAGATTCTTATGCTTTTCACAAAACTTTCTTTATAGTAGCTAGAACATGTAGGCTTTTCTGTCAGTATGAAGTTAAGTTTTTAATGGCCTGGAGGTGAGTTTACAGACTGAAAATTAAAAATAGTGTTAATGATGTAGGTTCGATTCTCACCAATCTCACAAATACTATTTAGATTCAGTGACTCTTAAACTAAGCTCTCCGGCACACTAGTGTCAAAGACTACTTTAATTATAAGTTTGCCAACAAATCCTTCAAATGACAACTAGTGAGAAAAATGTCAAGCTAAAACTAGAATCTCCAATTTCACTCAATACAAAATCACAGAAACTCATATCAAAATACCGAAACTTAAGATACCCTAATCCAAAGTCTCCTTAATATCCATAGTTTGTCATAACTATAAATTTAAAGAAAAATGTCAAAATTATACAAAAATGATCGTTTATGGTTGAGAATTTATTATGTTATCACAATAAGTACTAAATTATTTGATACTAATACTAATAGGAAGCACGTGACAGATAATGTATCAAAAATTCCATGGCTCATAAAAAAACTTCTTGCTTCTGTTTTGTTTTGTTGATTAGACGATTAAGTCACCATTTAATTCCATTTTTCATTTACAATTGAAGCTAAAATAATCTGTCTAGTTTCTCCACCATCCCAGATAATTAAATGAAATGAGGTTGAAACAAGATTGACTATTAAAAATATTTTTAAACAGCGGTACTAGATAATAAAAACCGCACGAGATCATAATATAATTTGCATATAAAACGTTTTCATTGTGCCATGTCACCTAGCAATCTTTTCAGGGAGACAGAAAAAAAAAGGGGAATGAAGGATGTTTTAAATAACATTAACTCACAAATAGCTGCCGGAGATTTGTTCTTTGCTACTTTTTTTTTCAGTGAGTTTATTGAGTTTTCAAAAATTGCTTTTTTAAAATAAAGTTTTCTTGTAATTAGATTGGATATAAATGTTGTTAAAGTGAAATTTTTTTGTATACTGATTTTTTTCTTGCTGGATGTTTGCTGTGTTCTGGATCTGGGTCAGGGGAAAATGAGGAATTGACTTCAGTTTTTGCAATTTGTTGCGTTTTATTTTTATGAATATTTTATTGGAATTTTCAAGTTTTTTGTTTGAGTTGATAAATTATGTAGCTATGCAGTAAGTTCTTATTAAAGTATTCGTTCGTCCGTCGGAGTTTGCAGTCATCTTCTATTGTGGTAATGAAATTATCTTCAAACGAGTGGACAAGAAAGTGAATTGTACTTCATTGTGTCAGTTTCTAAGGCTATCTGGGTTTCCTAGCAATGGATCATAGGTAGGATAGCTTAAGATCAAATCAACTGTCATAACTTGTCTTCCTAAGGTTTAAGCGCTATGATAGAATGCAATCAATAGATCTATGGATCGCAACCATACTAGTACTCTTACCTATAGTCAGACATGACGCTAATTTATAAAAAAACTATCTTCTGATCTTAAAATTTGTCTTCTCTTCTCCGAAAGCTTAGATTTGCTGACAATTTTTAACTCAAGGAGTAATTTCAAGTCTCATTAGGTGTGATCTTTTGTGATAATATACAAAAGCATTTATAATCTTTTTAAAAAAATTCCCAATTTAATCTAAAATTCATTAACAAAGTGAAGGTCAACATGATCATGAAAATAAAATCACAGCAGTAAATTATAATATAATCACGTGTGAATAAGGACTAAGTAGAGACGATGAAACGAAAGTCTAGAATATAATCAAGCTAAGTGGTCATATCATTCGATTCAACATTTTCATTGTGTTCACGTCATAAAATATTTTCAACTTCGATGATTTATTGCCATGGAAAAAAAGCAGCAGTTAAGAATAACTCGATAGATACAAACATAATAAGGGAGAAAATGTGACACATTTAATAAAGCTAATAAATATTAATAGACGAGAAAAAAAAATATTTTTATTGAAATGATTTAATTTCTATAATTTTGTTTACTTACATCGCAAGATTTATATGGAATGGTAAGGTAGAACAAAAGAGCGCATTTACATAAATAAGTAGTAATGAGTCGTAAACAATTTTTTTTTTGTGTTTTTGTGGTTGCTGTAATTAAGAGGCGATTCATTCTCTTGTGATTTATATGGATTGAATTTAATGAAAAGCTCTTAATTAGCAAGCAACGCTAAAAAATAAATTCTAAGAAGCAGTTACTACAAAAGGGATTGAATTTGAAAACAGCGTAAAATTTAGAATTAATCTGTGATTCCAGAAATTTCTAATTTTTATGATCATGCTTGTGCTAGCAGCTCAAATATAATAATCTGTTTTAATCTGCAAATATATTTAAATCTGAATAAATTAGCTCCCGTAAGGCACATGGCAAAAAAAATAACATATTAAAATTTTCACAGTGTTTTCGGACATTTTGGAGCCGTGTACTTTCCTGGATTGATATAAAATGTATTTATGTTGCTATTAATCTCTAGTGCAGCAAGTTATTTTTCAGCTATTACTGTTTTGGAGAGTAACCATATATAAAAGAGATCAAAACCGTTTTTTTCAGCTTAAATAATTTTTTTGTAGAAAAGCCATTAAAAAAGTATAAGAACTTAGTTTTACATAAAATACCAAGATTCTGTGTCATATTTTGTTAGGGGCCGTTCAATTATGACGTCATAAATTAACGGTCATTTTTCAAAAAAGAACAATGGATTTCCAGGAATTTCTATTGTTTTTTTCTTGCTGACCCCCCCCCCCCCTTTTGGACGTCATAAGTGAACGGTCCCTTTGCTAGAAGCTATAAAGTATCAAATTTTCCCATGCTAAGACGATGCTTAAGCCGATCGGTTTAGCATCAAAAACTGTGAAATTGTGAGCTTCCAAGCTGGTAATATATGACACAAAATCATAGTAAAGCATGTAATGTTTAGTTTTAAAAATTGATTTAATTCAAAAATTCAAAAATAAGTTAAACTTCTGATGACTTTTTGACCTTGTTTTTAAGGCTATTAATATTAAGAATAAAATTGTAGCGCTTAAATGTTTAATAAACACTGTTACACAATTTAAGATAGATAAATTGATTTTTTTAAGGCTCCCTTGTCCCACTATAAACTGTAGGTCTAAAGGGTGTGGTACAATAGATTAAGTTCTAATTTTGAATCGCAGTGCCTCCAGCTGAAAGGCTGGGCCCTTCACACATTATTATTATTATAAGGCTCCCCTGTTTCTCATAAACTAGAATAAAAAAATAGATGTACAACATTATAACACATAATTGAGACAGGCTGGAGTAGGATTCACGAAGTAGCTTTGGATATCACCCACTAAGGTTTCAACTTCTATTTTCTTTTAAAAATTATGAAAATGACATTGATGTTATCTAGCAAAAAGTAAATCAAATCACACGTTTTTAAAGTCAAGTGGCTCCATCTTTATAAACACATAAGAATTAATGAAAATGCGTATAAATTTTTGTAAGCTGTTACATAGTATGAAATTTTAAGAATTTTTGTTCCTGAAAATATTTTATTGCTGAATCTGTCGGGGGTTTTGCCCGAGAAAGGTTATAGCGATTTATATATTTATTTTTTTGCTTTTCTTCTTTATTTCTTCTAAAAACTCTAAGTAAATTAAAGAAATTTTCTAAATAGGTAGGAGTTTCGTTTGACTCCAAAAAAGCCTTTCCCGGCTTTACATAAATGAAGACATTGCAAATATCTGCAATAAAATATTTGCTGGAATTCTCAAATGCACATTATGATTTTTGAAAATGTATTAGTGAACGAGATTGATAAAACTTTAAATAAAATTATCTGCAATTACTTAAACTATTTGCATTTAAATTCGAAAGAAGAATTTCAAACTCAAAAAAGTTAAAACTAGATATTTTATAAAAATTTTATTCTTTTTTAAGATCCAGTCTTATCAATCAGCAAAAAAAAAGCATAAATAAAAACATTAAAAAGTGTCACAATTTCTCTCAAAAAAAAAAAATCAGTTCAAAAGTTGAGTAAATGAATCTCACAGATGATTTTAATAATTATTCAAATGATAAGAATTCAATACAGTTCTGTGATCAGTCACACTCGGACCTCCATAGATTTCACTCCATCGACTTTAAAGTGCCTTTATTTGAAATTATCAGTAAGAAAGAATCAGTGCTAGCTATGGAAAGTGATAAGCGAGGAGAATCAATTAAAGAATTGAATAAAATTGATTCAGTGAAAAATGAAGAAATTAATAAGAATATAAATGCTAATAGAGTAAGAGTGGACAGTCAATGTGAGAAACAGCCTTTTTGCACCAATGACATGAAGAAAAACATTTCAATATTCTGTAAGTATAGAAAAGTTCAATGAGATAAGTCGAGCGTTCATAAACGTTGATAATGCAAAATAAAAAAAGAAGCTATCAACACAAATGACCTTAATAATTTTACAGGGATTTTATTAAAAATAATAAATTAAACATATACAGCAGCACTTAATCTTTTTAAGTAAACTATACACGCGTATGTCAATTAATGTGCCTTTTTGGTTTTTCATCATAAAAAAAATTGAATTTCCTGTTATTTTCTCAATAATTTCAATCTTCTTACTTATCAAGGCATTTGTGAACTCAAAGGTCACGTTGCCAGACATTTCGTGTCTAGATATATTCTTGACAGTTTTGTCAGCTGTTGGGAGCTATGAATGAAATTTTTATGGGGTTTATGAGCAAATGACGTCTATAAAGAAATGGGGTAATTCCTTTGATTTTGTATGATATGCCGCAAAGATTTAGTTGTATATAAAACTATTTTTATATGCAGCGTTGATACAAAGTTGCCTTTGATCTCGCAAAGTCATGCATTGCAGGGACGAAAAAGGCAAAGGTGAAAAAAAATTTTTGACTAAGGTAAAGGCTTGTTCCTTTGATTTCAAATTGCCTATGCTTTTTTTAGTCAAGAGCCAGGTATCAACAGGTTATATGAATCAAAACTTTACAAAATCTCAGAAAAATAAATTTAATTCAGACATTTTTCTCTCTTTCTCTGAGCTACTACGGGGTAAGGGGGGTACAGATTTTCTCTCTCTTTCTTTCTCTCTCTCTCTCTCTCTCTCTCTTTTGTATTATGTACAGGGATGTCAATTTTTCCTATTTTCATTCAATTATTATCTCTTAAATAAGTTGTCATCTGTTGATCCCTATTTTGAATACCCACACATGCAATCTCAATTGTAACACTGGCCTTAACCCATTAGCTTTAAGAATCAATAATTCAAGACTCCTAAATAATTATTTGATACATTTGTGCAGCAGTTTTGTGTCTTAATTGTCACTAATAATCGAAATAATTTAAATCATTAAAAATCACAACTCAAACATTAAAGCCGAAAACGTTTGCAAAGGTTTGCAGTATTTCATCTAAGCAAATCGCCTGTCTCGGAGACAGCAATCATAACCAGAGATCGAAGCCGATTTTTTCGGCTTAACTCAATTTTTGATTTTTTTGATAGAAAAAAGCCATTTGACACCCATTTCAAGTATTTAAATTGAACTTTACATCGGCTTAAATTTCGGCTTAAAATCGACTAAATTGAAATTCTGAGCTTACTATAGCTACATGCTGACAAAATATTACACAGAATCATAGTAAAGCATGTAAAGTTCAATTTAAATACTTAAAATGGGTGTTAAATGGATTTTTTCTATCAAAAAAATCAAAAGTTGAGTTAAGCCGAAAAAATCGGCTTCGATCTCTGATCATAACTGCAATAAAAAGTATTTAGAAACCGTCAAGAAAAATTAATAATCTGTTGTTAAAATAAAATTTCCAAGAATAATCAGCAATCTTCACGAGACTGATCAATTCATTAAAACATCAAACATGTGCACTCAGAAAATTCTAAATAATTTACAAACTCGAAATAAAACAAAACTTAATGACATAAATCAATTGTCGTATCTAGGTATGATGCGCGTCTTTGCATACGTTTTCAAAACAATTTTGACACAAATCAAGATTTCAATTGGAGTATTTAATTAGAAGCTACAGGGTATTATAATTGTCTTTAACTGATTAAGGCTAGTTTTTTAATTAATTATTGAAATTTTCCATGGAAATCCACAACCATAAATTCGAACTTGGAATTTTTAATTTATCCAGCATAAGCCGTGTAAACTTGTATAATTAAAGGGAGAAACGCCATTAGAACCTGTTTTCTGGATGTTCTTTTGAATCTTAAAAACTAAAGTGTACAAATTTGATTTTTAACCAAAACTTAAAAGTCATCGTGATTTGCTCTTTACAGAAAAGAAACATTGTGACTTTATAAATTGTTATTGTTGGAATCTCCAGATATTTTTAAAAATTTTACAGTTCAATATAGCATTTAGCATCAAAAAAAATACTAGGGGATATCCCCGTATATTCAACTTGTGCCTAAATCAAACTTTCTTTAAAATATTCAACTTTATATCCACAAAAAAAATATTTATTGACACCTCTTCTTATTATTTGCAGTAATCCTTCTGTTTGGCTTAATATTTCTGTTATCGTCGGCATGCTTCATCATAATTACATTTACAAACAGATTTAATGAGAAGATAGTAAATGTAAGTAGCTAAGTAGCTATAATGTATATCCATTATTCCAAAACAACAACTTTTAATATTTTCACAGCACTTAGTATTAAGAAATGGTAGTCAAGCTCTTGAGTGGTGGATCGACTCTCCAATAAAACCTTTACTTAAAGTGCATTTGTTTAATTACACAAATATCGATGCAGTTCTTGCAGGACGTGAGAAGAAAATCAAAGTTGTAGATGTAGGACCTTTCGTCTATGAAGAAACTCTCCAAAGGACAAAATTAAGCTACGAGGATGGAAACAAAATTACTTTTTATGTAAGTTTACCAACACAGAGCGAAATCAGAATCTAATTAATCCTATAAAAATTCCAATTTTAGGAAAACAGAACACAACAATACAGAACAGACCTCACACCAAGCCACTTGAATGAAAACGACACACTAATCCTTCCTAATGTCCCACTCATTCTAGCAATAAATGCAGTTTCAAAAGATCCAGGCAAGAAACTCCTTCTAAGAACTCTTATGTCCACAACAAGTCCAAATGAATTTAACGCAAAGAAAGCTAGAGAATTTATTTGGGGATACAGAGACGGCTTAGTAAGTGGAATCGCACTTAGTGTCAAAGACTTTTCAGAAGAAAAGGTTGGAATGATGGGTGGACGTAAAGGAATTTCCACAGATAATTTAACAATTTATACAGGAGAAGATTTATTGGAGAATTTTGGAAAAGTTCATGCGATGAATGGTGTAACAAATGTGACAATGTGGGACACAGATGAGTGCAATGAGATCAGAGGAACTGGTAAGTTAATCAACCAAAAGACTAATTTTATAAATCAAAGTAGCTATCTATAAATCCTCAATATAGCTTAGTTATTAGTCATGTGCTTTATGAAACATAAGAATGTAAGTTCGAATCTCACCGAGTCAAAAACTTGCTTTCTCTACAAAATAAAGCTCAAAACTCTCAAAACCACCAATTAAGTCCATCAAAATATTGTCTCTTAATTCAGACATTAACCTTGCGATAATTACAAGCACACTCATCAATCTCAATATTTTAAAACCAACGAGTTCAATTACCTTATGTAAAAAATTTAATCAAAACATTTTGCTTATCGACGTCTCTTCCGTAAATTGTACCACAATATGTGATTTTGTTATTATTGTTGTTATGTATGGTCTGATGTCGCGAAATAATAAAGAAGAAGGAAATCAGTGAAATGATTTCGTATGGTTTTTTGGAATTTGGTAATGTTGGTGTTTTGTCAGTCAGTTAGGCTTTTTGTAAGTGTGTTGCGCAAGCTTGTTTTAAGCAAGTGAGCGTAAAATAACAACTCGGAAGAAATGTATTTAAAGAAAAATCATTAGAAGGAAGCTCTTGTTTAGTAATATTGATTGTTTGAATAATTCAACTGTAAAGTAAGATCATGTTATGTGTTGAAGCTACTAAGAGTTGCCATCTTATTTGCTATGTCATAAATCATGCTTTAAATTGCCTTGCCGGAGGCAAAATTCTCAATTTACTTTAAGCTTCATTCATAAATTACGTCTGTCAAAAACTGATGACTTCTGAAGTCATTTTTATCTCTTTTCATTGTCGGACTTCATTTTTTAAAAGATAACATCCAGAGATCGAAGCCGATTTTTTCGGCTTAACTCAATTTTTGATTATTTTGATAGAAAAAAGCCATTTGACACCCATTTTAAGTATTTAAATTGAACTTTACATGCTTTACTATGATTCTGTGAAATATTTTTTCAGCATGTAGCTATAGTAAGCTCTGAATTTCAATTTAGCCGATTTTAAGCCGATCGGCTTAAATTTCGGCTTAACATTCTTTAACTTGAAATTCTGAGCTCACTATAGCTACATGCTGAAAAAATATTTCACAGAATCATAGTAAAGCATGTAAAGTTCAATTTAAATACTTAAAATGGGTGTTAAATGGCTTTTTTCTATCAAAAAAATCAAAAATTGAGTTAAGCCGAAAAAATCGGCTTCGATCTCTGATAACATCATTTTTGGTAGACCCTTTTGTGAAAAACCATCATTAACAACCATCAAACCCAAAACCTTCCCTTGAACTTTAATCCACTAGATATTCACATTCCAATCTTATTTCCAAAATCTTTTAATGATAGCAAATAAGGTGCGCGCAGTTCGTTTAGACGCACTTAATTTTTTTCAAATTTTCCTTTAATAAACACTATTAAGACAAAAACTATTTTATGTGTTTATAGCTATGACCAATTAGGTTATAAATATAATAAAAGTACCTGACTAAATGCTTTGCTTAAGTAATTAAAATAATTTTTTCAAAAATTACAACAACAAAGTGCGCAGTTCGTTTAGACGCACTTTGAAAAATCTAAAATTTTGTCTTATTTACGTTTCGTAGAAAACTTAATCGTTTCTAATATTAATCTATCAACAAAAACGAGTAATTACTGAGGGTTTTAGAATTTTCCATCAAGTTTTTCCAGAGATTTTCCTTCATTAAAGTTTTCATGTTGCAAAAATTTTGATAAATTATTTATCCAATAATTTTGCGTTAAATTATTATTCTTTTAACTGATTTCCATAGATAATTGTCCATAATATTAGAAAATTAACAGATATTTAAGCTTTCTTATAAGTATAAGGCGAAAATATGTGAAAAATATAATTATGGTGAAAAATTTCCACCACTCTCATAGATTAATCAACAAATTTTGACAAAACTGTAGATACCATAATAAATTTGAATAGACCAGCTTATTTATCGTATTAAACTTAGTTAAAAACAGAAAACTGCACAGCTCTATGGCTAATGGAACTTGAAAATTTTACTGAAAAATTAAGTTGTGGTGAAAAAATTCACCATAGAAAAATAAAATTTTAAAAAAACTATGTCTAAGGTTTTAATTCATGTTTTAAATTGATTAATTTTGAGACAGAAACACTTTTACAACCTAATTTAAATGAAACAATTGCCTAAAACAACGTTTTTTAAAATTTTATTTTTCTATGGTGAAATTTTTTCACCACAACTTAATTTATCAGTAAAATTTTCAAGTTCCATTAGCCATAGAGCTGTGCAGTTTTCTGTTTTTAACTAAGTTTAATACGATAAATAAGCTGGTCTATTCAAATTTATTATGGTATCTACAGTTTTGTCAAAATTTGTTGATTAATCTATGAGAGTGGTGGAAATTTTTCACCATAATTATATTTTTCACATATTTTCGCCTTATACTTATAAGAAAGCTTAAATATCTGTTAATTTTCTAATATTATGGACAATTATCTATGGAAATCAGTTAAAAGAATAATAATTTAACGCAAAATTATTGGATAAATAATTTATCAAAATTTTTGCAACATGAAAACTTTAATGAAGGAAAATCTCTGGAAAAACTTGATGGAAAATTCTAAAACCCTCAGTAATTACTCGTTTTTGTTGATAGATTAATATTAGAAACGATTAAGTTTTCTACGAAACGTAAATAAGACAAAATTTTAGATTTTTCAAAGTGCGTCTAAACGAACTGCGCACTTTGTTGTTGTAATTTTTGAAAAAATTATTTTAATTACTTAAGCAAAGCATTTAGTCAGGTACTTTTATTATATTTATAACCTAATTGGTCATAGCTATAAACACATAAAATAGTTTTTGTCTTAATAGTGTTTATTAAAGGAAAATTTGAAAAAAATTAAGTGCGTCTAAACGAACTGCGCGCACCTTATTATGCCGAAAACCTTTTATTAAATTAAACTTTTGCATCAAAATTAAATCCAATTAAGCTTCAAGGCTTAGATTATTGCTATACAACAATAGAAATGCCTTATTTACCCCCCGGATGACCTACATGCAATTTTTATGGCCATTAATTATAAATAAGAAAGTAATAAAGCACAAGCAGATGCTCAATGAAAAGTTTTAAGGACTTCAATGAATTTAATAAACGTAATTAAAGCAGTAGTAGATTTCCTGTGATTATGGATGAGCTAAGATTATCAGTGATTCCCCAAATAGACTTGTTTTAGTCAGGGTTGGAGCTAGAGGAAGATTTTAATTTTTGTTTTAATTAGTCATCAATCCTTGTTTCCTTCTTGGCTACTCTCCTACATTCTTAATAATTACAGGCTAATCCTTTGATTTGCGTCAGCACACGACTTTTGATAATGCAAATAAATTATTGTTGCTAATACCAAATTAGGTTATCAGTGATTCGCTAGATTTACTTGACACCTAAATCATTTTATGGTGTTTCCTATAAAATGAACTTTGATCTTCTATGATTTTAAAACCTCAAACTCACAGCTGATAATAGCTTTTTGCCTACACCGAATTATTTATTATTTGTTAAAACATTCTCAAAATTTATTTACATTTCTACTTCCAGATGGAACACAATTCTCGCTTGAGGATCTCGCTAGTGAAAATAAGCTTCAAATTTATCCCAAGTCAATATGCCGAACCTTCAATATGGAATATGAAAAAGAAGTCACAGCACTTGATGGAATTCCTGCAAAACGATATATCCCAGAACCAAATCAATTTGGATCAAGTAGAACAATGCCAAGCAACAAATGTTATTGTGATGCTGAAACCAATTCTAAATGTCCACCAGATGGTGTCTTTGATGCTGAAAAGTGTATGGGTGTTAGCTTGTTAATGTCATATCCACATTTCTTTGAGGGAGATCCAATCCTTTTAGAACCATTTGAAGGTATTAAACCGAATGAAGAAGAGCATTTTACATTTGTTGACGTACATCCACGTATGGCCTTCCCAATTGGTGGATCATTCCGTATGCAGATCAATGCACGAGTAAACAAATTCACTTACGGAATATTTTCACAACGGACATTGTACAAGAATTTACCAAGTGACTTAATACTGCCATTATGTTGGTTTGAAATAACCTCAGGTGAAGTTCCACCAGAACTATTGACAATGGTCTCGACCACAACACATCAAGCAAATGAATTGTATTCAGCAATACAATTTGGTTCAATAATTTGCATGTTTGTTTCATTTTTATTAACGATAGGCACAACATTAATATATTATAAACGCATTGTGGGAGAATCGAATGGTAAAATGAAATGTCAAGTTTTAATTTCAATGATGAGCACTCATCCGACAAATTCACAAGCCCAAAATATATATCCAACGCTCTCCACTGTACAAAAGTAATAATGTTTGCTATAAAGAAATTGCTTTGGAAATTAGTATGCCATAATTCCGCGTACCGTCATGTGGAAAATTGTATGTATATATGTATACTCAACGTAAGAAAGTAAAAGTGAACAACAGTAAACATTTTGCGCTGCTTTACTTCTTCTTCTTCTTAGATGTTGATGAAAAAAAAATTGTTAAATAAAATAATGTGAGTTGAGTGTACTTTAATGATATCCATAAAAGTTGAATTTAATGTTATTTTGTATCAGTAGTTCAGTATGTAGAGTTTAAAGAACTTTATGGCGTATTTTCCTTTGCTTTAATAGAGTTTTGGGATCTAAAAGTCAGGTCTGTAGCTGAGTAGCTCGGTACATATATGTTTACATTTTCTCCTAGCTACATCACTGTAATATCAATTCTCTGAGACTCTTAACCTCAAGCTACAGATCTTTAATTATGTTATGATCCATAAAAGTGGCAAACAACAGATTTGCTGGCATAACAAAGAAATAATAGAGCAAATGCTGGTACTTCTAAATGGCAATGAAAGTTTCAAGTAAATTTCTAATTTTTGTGGCTAAGCTAGTCAATGGAACGTGCAAATTTCGAGTACGATGAATTGCTGATATCAGTTGTAATTGAAAAAGGCCAGCAACCTTATGATTCTAATCACTTGCATGTATGCTTAATAACCTAGAAGCAGTTTCTTCATTGACAATGGTTTGCTGATGGTTCATGACAATTAAAGACATTGTTGGTGACATGCTTTGAGTTTAGTTTGTAGCATGCATAGCTTATGTAGGCAAAACTTAGCAAGTTATGTCACAAAATATCAGATACTCCTGAATCTGCGACTAAAAACCATTTTAAATTATTGTATTTGGGTCACAGCATCAGTCACACAGTTTCTGCTTTATCTCTAAGTCCAGGCACGACAAGCAATGTTCTATTTTGTTGCTGTAAACCACTCAGCTAGTTTATTAGCAATTCGAGCAACAAAATGTAACACTTAAACGAAAATACTCAATGTACAGTAAGACACTCAATGAACATTCTACATGCCTGTTAAGCTGCAACACACAACTTTGTTTTCCAGCAGTTCTGTCTGCTGTTAACGAGATAGACATGATTTTACCGTAGAAATGCTTTATATTCTACTATAAATGAACAAAACTTAACAATTCTAGTTTGATTAAGGTCTGTCGTCTTAAGTCTATCGCAGAAACCATCAATAATTGCTAAATCAGTTGTCAGGCATCATTTCAACACATCTCAATACTTGACTGTGACCTAGAATCATAAAGTATGAAATTAAATCTGTCAAGTAAAAAACTGATAATCGGTCAATGAATCCCTCATTGCTCGTAAAATGTACATCAGCAGATGTTCAACAAAAATTTCTTTTTCTTTTCTCTCTTGCCAGATTACATGTCTTGACATGTGCAGAAAGCTTTTCGCCTAAAGGAATATACGCTACTGTTAATTTAGTTATTTTTTTCATATTCACACAAAATTTTCAATTTTTGTTTTGTAAGTCTTTTATCATGTAGTGCCAATTGGTTATAAGTAACAAAAGATCAGATAACTGGCACCTTTTATTTTATTATAAATTAATTTTTTGAACAACTTTTATTCGCATTAATTATAATGAGACTTAACACTTTTGTGTTATTTTAATTAAAAGTCTACTTAAGTTGATATTTTCGTTGTATTTATAGTTTAATAGAGATAATAATAAAATTAATATAAATTGATATCCAAGGTGGACTAACTCAATTTAATGTTAAAAATTATTTTGCAGAGCATTTACTGAGTTCGCATGAAATAGGAAAGTTTTGAATACTTCAACCCGAACTGTATAGTGAAAAAATAGTTCCTCTGTATGTTTCAGTTTAGTGTCCTAATTTCTTTTCAAATTTATTTGTTACTCTAAGTTGAAGCTAGCTTATAAACCTTAGTAGCTATCAGTATAAAAGTTGTATGAGCTACTCGGGTTGTTTGAACTTTTTTGAACGACAATCGTGATTTTCAAATATAATCTATTAATTTTAATTAGTATAAACAACAATATCACAATTTGTGCTGTTTGCTTTACTAAATTCATGTTAGCCTCACACTCTATCAAAGATTCTAAACTTTCTAAGTGAGACTCTAGTTAAATTAAACTAGTTTATTTAAAAATTAAATTAGGAGTTTCTAATCTATTTATAAAGTTATATCGAGAAACTCAACCTTAGGACCAACAGCTAGATTTCTTTTTATATCAGTCCAAATAACCTTATCCAAAAATTTTAAAAAAGCTAATTTCAATGCTAAGTGCAAGATTTTGGCTTCAGAAGAACTTAATTCAAAAAATTCAATTAGACAAAATTTCCAAAAGTTCCTCAAAGTTATCTCACCTTGATTTTAAAAATTCCTCATTCTCATTTGTCTTTGAATCAATAAGAATCCATGCAAAACCAATAAAAGTAATCCATCAGAACAAAGAGATTTGATCATTCTTGGTGCATTGTGTGCGAGTTGAATTAAAAATAAATTTCAAAAAAATAATAATTCTTGTTCAAATAATTAAAGTAGAGACTTAAAAATTCATTAATTTCCAAGCTCTCATTTACCGCACATTAACCAAGGCTTTGATGATCAACGATATTAATTGAAATTAGTTTCATTGTAATATTGAGAAGTTTAAGCAATGGTAAGTATGAAAAGTACTTGAAGGAGTATTCGTAACACTTAAATCAAACATTTTTACACACTTAAAGTGCTACAAACAGATTAAATTAAAAATGTTGAAACAATGCGGATTTAAATATGCCTTTTTTTGGTTTATAGATACAAAATATTTTTGATCATAAATCCACAGTGTATGTATGAAACCAACGAAAATTAAAAGTGGTAATTACACCGCAATGAATGTTTCAAACAAGCTTAATAGAATAGGTAAACAGAACGAAACTTCCGACAATGAAGTCATTGAAAACTTTCGCGTTTATTTGAAACTTAACAAGCTGATTTGATTTAATTTGATTCGATTTTCACGTTGCTGTATAATGTGAAATTAAGTATTCAAATCTCAGGGATGTTCTTCCTAAAGTTTATCTTCCAGAGATCTTTTGTTTATTTTCTTTACGGAATTAAACACGCAGTTTTTTTATCAGTAACTAATTTTGCATAAATTATTTGAATGCTATTAACAACAATCTATCTATAGAAGAATATTTGAATAAGTTGTATGATTAATATTGTTTTTTCTCAGATACGTCTCGTTTTAGAGATTAAGTTTTAAGTTTGTTTAAATGGATAACAGGAACTTGTAAGAAAACATAGAAACTACTTTGTTTTAAGGAATATCAACAACCTTCAACAAGATATAAGGATTGACAAATTTTGCTTTTTGAAGTTTATTATAATTTCCAAAATTTTGTTTTGCATAAGATTTCCCTGGTTGCAAACAATCATGCAAGTCAAGGGCATCTTTATCATATGAACGTTAAGTTAAAAGGTGCAAGATGAAGTCTAACCTCTTGATGAAGATTGAGAAATGAATAGCTGGTAGAAATCAAGCACAAAACAAAGTTAGGAAAGCATCTTTATTATGTCTCAAGGTATCTAATTTGCCAACGAAACTTTGTAACATTGTAACTTTGCAATAAAGCAAACAACCAAACTAAAATATTTCTTTCAAATTGTAAACCTTAAAAGAAATCAAATCAGCAACACAAAGAGAAGAATCAATCAAGCTTAATGGATCATTCGATGAATCATCACACAAGGGCAAAAGAGTGAACAAATGAAGAATCTGTAAACAAACCGATAAAATTGAAATTCAAAGGATTCTAATTAGAATTAAATCAAAAGTGATCAACAACAAAATTCCAATGAAGAAAGACAAAATGTTAAAATTAAGAAGTTGACAAGACGTGAATTGGATTCATTTAACTTTGAATTGTCATTCACGCTACATTAGATTAAATCTGATCACAAAATAAACGAAATTAAACTAATTCGGAGATAAATTTGCAAACTAGAAAGAATGAAGAAATACACAAAATGTTTAACGACAGTCTGGTGTATCACGAAGTATATTTTTAGTGCCATAATAAAATAAATCATCGATTTTTTTTTACTCGAAAAATAACAACTTATGACTAAACTCAAATATTCACTATTTAATTAACATAAGAAATTTTTTCCAACTTAAAGTCATCAAATTATGATAATCTAACGGATAAAATATCAAAGAACGTCCAAAAACAACCTTGCGTCATGACTTTGACTTTTCTTTATTAAATCTTCCGCAGCTACCATATTTGTGTTCAATATTTAATCCATTTAGGATCAAAGAGTAACAAATTAGATATTGTGGAACTTGAACTTGAACAGAATGTGTGTCTTGCATGGATCTGAACGGAAATTTAATTATAATTTTTAGTTTAGCCGCGCACACACAATTTTTTTTTTCGTTTATAGAATAATTTCAAGTTTGCAAACAAAAAAACTTAAATTCAAGGCCTGAATTATGCTTATGTCGTTTACTATTTGCAATTGCATAATGCACTTTAAAACATTTTAAATGCACGCTTTTTGTGGACTTTATACTTCTGATGCAAATCTAAAGTGAACTCATTTCAATAGCCAGCATTGCAGAGCAGAAAAAAACAAGGTGGCGTCAGCTGCTTTTGTAGATTTATGGTAAAAAATCTCTATAATAGATGCAAAGTGGAAGTAATCAATAAATTATTTAGATTATGTCCGTATTTTATTATAGGTTAGCAGAGTTTTTGGAATTGAGAGTTGATTCTGCTTCATTTCTGCAGTGTTTACTTATAGATGAGTAGGAAGCTATCACGACTGAATCGGAAAAATTTATTTTTCCTGCAAGAGCAAGGTTGATTGCATTTTTGTGTCCGAAATTCAAATTTTAGAAACAACTTCCATCCTTGTGTCATCTGAGGAAAAGGAAGCTTTCATTGATCTTGTCTGAATGTCTTGTCAATAATTAAAAATTTATTTCGCCAATTTAGAAACTCGTTGCATGGAACCTGAATTGTAGGATTGATCGCAGGTGTAAAAAACTCAAAAGACTTCCTTTGATTTTAAGAATTTTTTTTATATATTCTGACCATTTTAATTAATTTATTTCAAGAGGCTAGTTTGAATTTTATTTTCAAGACAAAGATGCCACATAATTTGCTTATATAAAACCCTTTAAAAATAAATTTCTAATAAATAAGAATCAAACCGGCGCCCCTTAACATGATATTCAACTAGTTGAGCAAATATCAACAAGTTTTACAGTTCTTTGTTCTTCGAACTGCTCTTTTCGATCATCTACATACTATTAAGTTCATCAAACATGAAACGTGAAGCTAATGCTTGCAAAACTTGACACATGTTTCAGATGTGTCAAATATCTCAACAATTAAAATTTCAGTTCACCAAGCTAAACCAAAACAATGGTCAAAAACCTATAAATGACGCTTAAGCAAAAAGCATCAGAATGAATTTATCGAACAGACCATGCAGTGTGCCAACGCAAAGTAGTAAAATTACTTTTTTGGTATTATTAGACATATAAGATAATTTTGTAAAGTATTGTA